TTATAGTTTGTTGCGACCAGACTACTACTGACAACCAACTGGCAACTGAATTAAACAAAATTACTTTTTGCAACTATGAACATATTTTAGAATGCTATTACTCCGTACCTTTGCCTAGAACATAGTCGTATTAGAAAAATTATAAAATACCTAGTAGAATATTGATTGACTGCTGAATTAAAAACTCGCCTTCCGGAAGTATAATTGAAAAAATTGTGCGTCCCTTTGTACAATGCAAGCAAGTCATTCAATTCAGTAACAGACGTTTCGCTTATGCGGAAAGCACTGTTTGTCAACTGGAATTAAATGCAATACTTCAACAAAAGTAATGGTTTCTTGATTTTAAATGATCTTTTTTCAAAAGACCTTTTTCAAAGATGTTGCTTCGTAATCTATTTGAAAGAGGACTCGAATATATGATGCGAAAAACAGTGTAGCACCTCATCTGCTCTGGCGAATGCATAAGACGGTAAAGTATAGGAATAAGTTCGTTTATCACAATTTTTATGAGCTTTGAAGGACCGAGTTGCACGTCTGGAAATATAAATTTATTAAAAATTCTGTGAAATATAAAAAAGGCGCTTATTTACATCATGAATGCTACTAAAAAAAAAATAACTTGTCAGCAGAACTACATTTCAGAGGAGAGGAATTATGACTAAGCACTAATGTAATGTAATATTGTTTGTTCTCAAGTTCTCAATGAACAATCAAAAAGAGAGGATGAAATATAGCTTACCTAACACCCATAACTCGAATTTCTTCAGGTAACTGTGCGTTCAATTTATCACTGGCTGTTTTTAGAAAATATTCGTGATTTTCTGGTGCTAATCGCATCGAGCACATCTAAATTTCAAACAAAAAAATCCCAAATTGTGATAACTAACGAAATTTGCTATCTTTATTCGCAAAAAACAAAAACAAATTAACAAATAAGACAGCTATTTGAAATGAACCTGCCGGGCTGCGGATACGGAACGATCTGTCCTAGCAGCTCTCTGAAATGCAAAACGAACTGGACTAAGAATATCATCCTCAGAGATGTATCCGCATTTAGCCATCGCTTTGAACAGTTCGCCCTCAACTGTGGGAAAATCTTTTTGCACCTGTAAATAATTTTTGCTGATCCATAACAAGTGTCGTATTCAAGTATAAAAAAAAACATAAGTTCGAGTAATGTTTGAGATACTTAAGTACGACTTCCAGCACCCAAAGATTCTCTTTCTAATAACTGTAACGCTCAATAAATTTTTGTCCTCCTGGAGATCCCAAAAAATTTTCTTCATCTTCCAATTTGTGTTAGAGGTCACTTATGGAAAATTAAATATTATGTATGACCAGTCACTGCCAATATCGTCTATCAACTTCGCGAACTCCCATAAATGAAACAGATGTTTGATATCCCAGTTTGCATTATCATAAAGTGAAAAAATAAAAACTGCACTAATTTAAACTAGAGAGTTAAAGGCTATGAAGCTAAAAACTTGCTGCAAATCACTCACTATCTGTACAAGAAAGTCGACCTTCTGACAACTAAGCATTTAATTTTAATTCCGAATGCAGTACTCATCTCTGAGTATTTTTTGACTTATATTGAAATAAGTCTGTGAGTATAAATTAAATAGAATTCAAGATAAAGAAAATGCTGAGCTACTAATAATTCTAGATGTAAACCATAAAAAAAGAAGCGAACTCTTTTGCATAAAATCAGATGGTTTCAATACATGCCCAAAATGTGTGTAATTTTCAATGCGTGCACAATAGAAAACATATGCTTGAAAATTTTTTGTTTTCCGAACTATAATGTAGGAAGTAACTCATTAAATTTTTGATCTACGTCAAAGATTGTAAAGGGTAAGGCACCAAATTTTATTTGGAGTAAAATAAAACCGAGATAACTAATAATAAAAAATACTGAATCAAGAAGACAATATGGTACATATACCCAATAATCTTAGTGTAAAATAAAAATCTCAGAAAGGCGAGTTTTTCAAAAAAAAGAAAAAAAGGCTCATTCCATTTAAAAAGAAATCAGCTGGTGCGAGTGTTGCCACCCTCAAAAACTGCGGACTACAAGAAAGAACCATATTTCCTACAATCATTAGGTATGTTAAGGATCGCAAAATCATGAAAATAAAAGTTTAAAGGGGAATAAAGCAATCTTAGTTGTAATGTCTTTACCTGCATACCATTGTACTTCTTGCCCTGATATGCTAACAGCAACGCGTAGGAATATTCCTTTCTTCTGCTTTTCCTTACAGGTTCACCTATGAATATTATGGATAACCTTAGTTTTTTTTTTTTNTTTTTTTTAAGTGCTGGACCAATTAAATCAATTAAATCAAGAAATCATACATTAATTTATAAATTAATATCTAAACAAACAAATAGCGTTAGAAATTAAAGTTTATGAAGAAATAGTTTCAAAAAATAACAATACGTAATGCTATGCATTTATATGCTAACAAACATTCCAAAATTTTCAGCATTCTGTGCCCAAAATTTAAGCATTAATAGAAGTTTTAAAAGATGACTTATCGCGGACTAAAGAACTCTAGAGATAGTATCGACCTTGCTAATCTATAGAAAATTAAACTGAAGTTAGGATGAAGTCGACAAATTCCGAAAGCAGCATAAAAACTAACCATTAACATCACTTGCTGAATCAGACGACGCGCACATAAAAGCATCCATCCAAATGACTTTCACTTTTGTTTTCCTTAGCACATCACTAACATTTCTTAACATCAAATCTGAAAAGGTACATACCGACGTAGAACTAACAGCGCTTTTCCCGAATTTCAAAAAACTCCTCCAACAGGAACATAAAACCGTTCGAATCCTCTCCCTTTCTATAGCCAATTTTCCAAAGTATTACTGGAAACTTTTTAATATCCTCAGCCTCGACCCAGCACTTTCTGTAAACGTCTGATAAAATCCGTTTCATCACCGCGTGGCAATCTAAAACGCCAGTTTTATTTCTCATTTCAGTTGAAGAAAATTGGGCGCAAACAAATATGCATATCCCAGTGGTTAATTTGTTGTCCAAGTACAATGAGGACAAGAAAAGTTAACTAATGAAGTGTCTTTAACACGAACAGTAGCGTACATCACAGCAGATTACGCAAAATGCAGACAAAAGTATGGAAAAAATTTTATTTAAAGTAAGTATATGGAAATAGTTTTACAACGGCGATAACATCATATTTTCCACTATCAGTTAAAAGTGAAAATATAACTGAAACAAAATAAATTAACTAATGAGCACTGTTCGTAAGAACAGTACAAAAAAAAACCCCTTCAGGAACTGGACGCGAGAAATACGGGTACGGGGAACAAAATGGAAAATAATCTTTGTTCTCAAAATTACATGCATATGTTAAATGAGCCTTAATATGACAATTAGTGTCTCGATGGGAAAATACTGTACGAATGATTCTCCCAGATTAAAATATATTTCATATTTTTTAAAGTATCACCAAGTTGTACGTGTTGGTTCGCCCCAATCACGGCCATATTTTGACTGACGGCCTTCATACTGATCATTGTAGTACTGCAAGAAGTTCATGAAAAGCACTGCATGCTTTTGTGTTAAGATTAAACACTACTACAGATTAATAACAACGTAAAAAGACCAGTTATCTGTGACTTATTTCGAGTCAACTCATGAAATTCTAATAAAAGTGCCGGTATATTTTCATAAAAGTGCTGGAACAAATTCCACCAACAATTTAAAGCCAACATTACGAATGATCAAAAAACACCAATAAGAAGTTTCAGGAAGCTCACCTGCTGCCCACCAACTCCACTTGCATAAGCAGCTTCTTCATCTAAAAAACAAAAAAAATGAGAAATTTTAACGAGCAGAAATTCTTAGGGAAAATCCAATAATTTTTGTTTCGTCGCTTCCATAAAAAAAAGTGGAAAATGAAGACCTCTTTCTTAATAGCAGTTTGCGGTGATGAAAGGATGCTGAAAGGATAAAAGATATACCAATACTTACAACCACTGACATACTAATTATCATTCAAGATTTCCTCAGCAATAGTGACGACGAAATTCCCAGAGCGATCTAATGTCCATGACTATTGAAAAAAAAGACTGGTGATAAGAAAATAAAAACGAATAACATTAACAGTGAACTGCCCTAAAGCAATATCTTCCTTCAGTGCACTCTCGACAAAGTCTGCTAATATTTTTGTTAAATGGCTAAATACATTTAAATAGAGAAGGATTATTTGAAAAAAAAGAAAAATAGATTGTCGTACAGAGATAAGAGTCCAGACAAAAGTTCGTGATTGGAAGCTAAAATAACGATTTTCACAACTGTGTTTCTGCGAATAAACGAAATTCATAACAGTGACAGAAATATTACCTTCAGCAAAGGAGCTGTACAGCGGGCGGGGCGCTGTTGTTAGACGGGTAGGCGCTCCACTTACTGTACGGAATGTTACTGTTTTAATTGGATGAGGGATATTTGTTGCCGGAAACAATTCGATGTATCTGAAAAAAAAGGATGAAATTATTAAGCTAATAAACAGGTATGAAATCGAAACCTAAAAAACTAAAACGGGAAATTTAAAACAGACAAATCATTTAAAAAACGTTATGAGCATATTAAAAACCGGAAACAGCTCGGTCCTCAATGCAGTGCCGTGTGTCTGATTCCTTCTTTCGTCAGTGGAGTGCGACTGCATGCCAAGCACAACTAATTTGACCAACTAAACGATTTAAGTACAACACGAAGCATGGAACATTTAAGATCTCGAGTAAAGAAAATTTCAGTAACAGCAGTTATACTGCGACCAAATAAAGCAGTCATAATAAAAGTTCTTGGTTTCAGTAGCATCATTACGCGCAATTTTCTCAGTATTTTGTGAGATTTGTATCGTTCCTAAAATTTCAAATATCGCTGGTAGAAGATGTCAAATGTTTACAACAAATCGGAAGTTTTCACTTTACAACTGTAAATCTTCAAACCCTTGTTTATTTTAACTATAAATATATATTTGAAATCCAGATATATAGCAACACCAGAATTCCTTTACCTATTTTCAGTATCTCGTCCAAATGTCCAAAATAAAAGACAACTACGTGACACTATGCTCGGTACACAACTTCACCTCAACGACACCAAAGGCACCGTATTGAGGGCCGAGCGATTTTCCACTGCTCCATACCTGCCCTTTATTCGCGGTTCACCTTTCCATTCAATGTTGCTTGATATTCCTGCTACACTTTCCTTTTCTGCACATTTTTCATTACTTGCCCACACTGGTCCCTCGCTCTTCATCTTTTCCGTCACGTCACCTAGAATCGTTTCAAGAATTCCATATGCGCCAGGCATTTCTTTTAACTTTCTGGCATCTTCCCCGGATGCTTCAACTTCTTGCAGTTTTTCCCGTAACATAACCACTTTCTGCTGTTCGCTTCCTGTGTTTGTTTGCGCTGAAACTTCTGAGGTACACAACCGATTTATTGCATGTTCTCCAGTTTTCTCAACAAGCTTCTGCTCAACATTTGCTTGTTTCTTTGTCTTCCCTACATTCTCCGCTTCGTTCTTTTCCTCAGATGTACTTCTTTTCAATACTATCCCAAAATTTTTCAGTGAAATCGCCTCTTTCTCTAAATTTTCCTCTGAAAACTCCTCTTCCACTTCTCGTTCGAAATCTTCCAAGGTAGTTTCGTATATTTGCATATTTTCACTGTTTTCTTGCGATATTTTTTCTTCCTTCCAACGTCTGTATTCTTTAAAATCCCTTTTCATCTGCATTCGTATTTGTTTGCATAAGGCAGCATATTCATCGTTCATTTGATTTTCCTTCTTCATTGCTCTCCTCTTTCTTAATAACATTTTGGTGCCTTCAGAAATCCTCGTACGTTTTCGTTTTTTAATTCTAAAAAAGTAGTTACTGATACAAATACATTCAAAGTTTTTTGGAACTTTTTCGTTTATTTGAAATGATTTTTCATCTTCGTCCCAAAAATCGCGTATCCATGGGAAGTTGCCAGGTACTTCATCCGCGATAAAATCCTGTTATTCGAACTGACTACTGGTATTCTGATCTATGTAACCAGTGTTTCTTTTGTTTTCAATTCGAGCTCAAGGCATACGACCATTTGACACCACTCATCAAGCGTACTTTTTATATAATTTGTTTGCATATGTCTCGTTCTTGTCCTGTCCCAAAACAACATGAGTACCAAAATCCGATTAAAAAGGTCTTCTCAACTCTGGTGCATGATTTACAGCGAGTATAGCTAGGCAGGGACCATTTAAAATAGTCCTGAAAATTCATAGCATCAGCAACCAAAATTCATGCAAAAATGTTCGTCATCAATTACCTGGTGCCCATGTTATTTTTGTTACGTGATAATGCCTCTCGTGCTTCCGCCATTGTTGAAAAAGATACCAGTGCATCACCCGAAAGACGACGCTCTTCGTTATAACCAAGTTTAATTTCGACGCAATTCAACGGTCGGAAAAACTCTTCTATATCGAGTGTAGTGACACTGTACGGTAAACCTGAAAAATGCATCTAAATAATAATAGTAAATAATAATAATTAATAATAATAATAATAATTAATAATAATAATGATAATAATAACAATAATAATAATAATAATAATAATAATAACAATAATAATAACAATAACAATAATAATAATAATAATAATAATAATAATAATGATAATAAT